TCTACTTATGACTATTATTTTTAATGGATCTTTTTGGAGGCAAGAGGCAAAGAACTGGGAGACTACTGTCCTGTCAATGGAGAGCATCAATACCAATAACACCAAATGGTTTTATGACATGACAGAGGAGAAGTAATCAATGCAAAAATTAGAGCTTTAACGTTGTCATCAGCTCCAGAGCATCAGGATTTAGTGAGGGGAGAGCAGCCAAGATATGACAAGGTTGTAATTGGGAGACAGGAAGTGACACTATTTTTCACAGTAAAATGAAAAGAAGGAAAAGAAGAGAGACTAGGAGAGAAAATGAAATGCACCGTGCGTGCCAGGCTGAATTACAAATGACTCCTTCAAATTAAAAAAAGGCCAGGAACTTACGTGATATCAGCGTTAGGGTGAAGCCCAAAGACTTCGGGGTTATCTAGGGAGGGCAGTGACTGGATGTATTCAAAATACTGGTCCAAGGTTTTGCACAAGGGGATTTTATATCCGGTGTAAAAACAGAACGATGGTTCAAACATCTTCTCACTGAACCAGACCTATATGGGAGAGAAAGCAGAAGAAATAAAAATCGATAAATCTCTTAATGAACGCTGCCACTGTAAAAATAGGAAGGGTTGCCTTATTTCCATTTTAATGGTTTTTAATATTGAGGATGAAAGTACCTAAACAAAACCACTAATAGAATAATTAGCACACAGATGAATAAAAGAGAGAGGCCCTAACACAAAACAGTGAAGCCCAGGCCTCTGTTTAACACCAAAGAAGGTATCTGCTGATGGTGGAGAGGAGACAGCCAGCCATGCAGGCCTGCTCTCTGCTCTAGTAACCTGACGACCCCCTTGGACCGCACTTTTGAAGAGTGGGAACAGGCTGCAGAGCGGATGAGGCAGCAACCACACGAGAGAGTATCTGGCATTCCCAGTGCCTCCCTTCTCTCCCCAGCGGGGTCCCATTAGGGAGCCAGGCTTGTGCTCACCACAGGCTCACAGCGAGAGGCACTGAGCACCGCGCAAGGCCAGGAAAACTGCGTGCAAACGTCTCTTCTCCCACCCTGAGCTGGAGAGCAACTTGTGTTAATTAAGTTCCGTCCCTGGCCCCAAGAAGTGAATGTATCCAACTGTCTTATTGTTTGCCCAAAGGACATCCTTTTCTCATTCCGTATGAACTGATTATCTGTAATGTAACAGCAAGAGAACAAATATGTACTTGGTGTGAATAGACTTATTCCGGAGAGGAAAAAAAAAAGTGCTGAACGCCTATGAGCCAGATCTGAGGCAATGACTTCAGTACCTAACAGCAATTTTCCCGGTTGGAAGGGAAATAATGGAAAGACAGGAGGGGCAGAAGTGCAGGCGGGATGTGAGTCACTCGGAAGACTCGATGTGGAAGAGATGGGGACCGGGCCTTCTTCAGCCAATCACGTTTTCTCTGGGATCTTTCCTCCGTACCCTCTTCCAGCTCTTTCCAGCCCAAGGGACTGCTCTGAATATGAAATACCGCGCGCTGCTTCTCTCTTTTGCTTTACTCGCCACACTTCTATCCTATTCACTCCTGTGCACAAGGAGCTAAGCTTAGAATGGGGACAAAAAGCAAAGATGAGACACAGACAGTCCTTTCCGTCAAGGAGCTTATGACCCAGTAGAGGGATAAGCCAATGACATAATAGCCACAGTACAAAGTGCACTGAGGTAAGAGCCAGAGGAAATAAAAATAAGCAAAGTACTAGGGAGGCTTAAAACAGGAAGAAGGAACAGCCAGATGGATGTCAGGTAAGGCTTTCTCTAGGAGGTGATGTCAGAGATAAACCTTGAAGGATAAGGTTTTGACAGTGGAACTTGTGACTGGGGAGACCACACGAGCAAAGGCACAGGATAACTGATGCAATATGTGAGGCAGGTCAGGGAAATTACGAAGTCTAGGGTAAATATAATGTGATGGGAAGAGATAGGTCAGGAAAGGGGCAGTGAGGTCATTTTATGAATGACTGTGGATGTCAGGATGCTTTAAGAAATGGGGAGCAGTTGAAAGTCATTAAAGAGAACAGTGCTATGATCTGGCCATTCATCAAAAAGATTATGTTTTTAGTGATGTGCGAAGTGAAGGCCATGGGGTCCTCAGCACATGGACAACAAATGACCACAGTGAGTTCCGTGTTGCCAGATGACACAGATCTATAAAAGCAAACTGGGGTTTCTTCCTGTTTTTCCATTACTTTATTTATACATACATCAATTGCTAGATTCACAAACACAGAAGTAGCTGTTTCATCCAATTTGGAGGACATTTTGGGGGTACGATCAAAATACAGAATATAGAGCCTACCTGGGATTACTTTGGGAGACACTAGAAGGAGGTACCTTACAAAGATAAGCAGTCATACTCCAAGGACAAGAAACAAGGTACTACTATTGTTGGCTTTAGGGAGACACACCATACGATGTTGAGAACAGAAAAAACGAATAGGGGTTCAAAGATAAGCCCCAAACTGAAAGTCAAAGGGATGGAGGACCCAAGTTGAAGGCATTGGTATACAATTACTGCTTCTTACCTGGGCAACTCCAGGTAACATGGGCAGGGTACAGTGGCAACAAAGAGGTTAGGGCAGTTGGATAGAAGATAAGACTGAGGCTGAAATGGAGACATATTTTTTTCTCCTTTGAACCTCAGATACAGAGGTGAGTTTATCATATTCCTTTATCTTATTATTCTCATGAGTTTCGGCCCCTTTTATTTTACTTTTCCCCCATTCAGCCCTGATATCCACTCCCGGTCTCCTTCCCTCTGAGGGCATGTACTTAAATGTACTTGACATATGTCCTTGAATATGTATTTATCCTTGTGAAATACACACGTATTACTTTATAGATCACATGCTTGGTGCTCAATAGTAAGTTTCTTTTTTTATTAGTTTCAGGTGCGCCAAACAATGTAATAGCTAGACATTTACACCCCTCCCCCAACCTATTGTGCCTCTGACATTGTCTGTAGCTGTTACAATCCCATTGACTCTATTCCCTATGCTGTACTCCACATCCTGTGACTATATATACATAACATTATAGTTGACATTCATTATTCAGCTTCAGCTTCAGGTGTACAGTGCAGTGGTCAGGCATCTACACCGTCCATGAAGTGATCTCCCTGTTTTTAAGATCTATGCATGATGTCACACAGATTATTTCTTCCAAGGGCTGCATTGTATTCCACAAAAGACATCTATAACTTTTACCTCATCTATTCCCCAGTGACAGACTCCTCGGTCACCCTCAACTCCCCCCCACACAATATCACCATGACATTTTTATACATATCCCTTTGTGGACTCTTTCTAGCCATGTTCTGGAATGCATCTACCCAGGACGCTGAATTTCAGTCCATTTTGCCTGGTTGCCTTCCAGGAGGTCTGTACCAGTTTAACCTCCCAGCAGCCAGGCTCCTGCTTTCACACATCCCTACAGACGCTTATCATCACCCACCTTTCTCCACATATGGCTTCAGGAAAAACTTGCAAAAGTAAGTAAGGGTTGAAAGAAAAATCAGTTTTCTGGTCAACCCCAGTTTACCAGAATACTCCCAAAGCTTTAGCTTTTAATTTTGTGGTCTTTTTTTTTTTTTTTAGCTGAGCCATCCTGCCACCTGTTGGCAGCTCAGCAGCTGCTCAGCTCCGGCCGGGAATCAAACCGCTGTTGCTCAGAGCTCAAACTCTTGAACGAGCTCTTAACCAACTGAGCCACTCGGCCTGCCCTAGCTTTTAATTTTATTGAGGTTTTACTTTAGTTGAAATTTTGCTTAGGAAAAAAAGTCATTGAAATGGAGAATTACCAATATAGGTGCTAGTAGAAAGAATTCAATGAAATACTCACATATCTGATTTTCTCCCACTTGTGTACTATTTCTTTAACATGTAAAAATTTTAAGAAGCGTTTGCGTCTGGTGGGTTATTTATGCTATTCATGCTTGACGTGAAAGCTATAATTGCTAAGGAATAATGTTCTCTAGAAAAGGTTTACCAATGTGATATAAAATCCACATGGATTTCACTGGGCACAGAGGAAAAAAATGAACACTTCATCAATTTTCAATTGTCCTAATGGAAGAGTTGAAAAAGCTCAAATTATGTTCATTTTCCAATCACTTATTTTAGGGCTTGAAATCACTTTGCACTCAGAGGAAGAGGCAGGGAAATTATGTCCAGCGTTTTCACTGAGGAGGGGAGGTGGGGAGAGGCCCCGGGCATGAGCAGCTCATCTACACAGCAGAAGAGTGACAGACTATTGAGAGTGGACCGCTGCTCTGCTCTGGATGACAAGCAGATTGCTGGTAGGTGTGGTTTAGGTTTAGGCTTTAATTTTGTTCTGTTGGCTGATTCTTTGCAGCAGCTTGACTCTATATATTTTCCCCCCTTGTGACTGGCTTACCTGTTACAAACAATAAGTATTCTTGCTTAACAGGAGAATGTAATAAAATGTATCTCCATGTTTTTTGCCCCCAAATTGACTTACTCTAGCAAAGCAGTTAAGTAGCCGTTTGTCAAAGTCATCTGTCACTCTGCCTCCATATTGTACTTCTCCAATCATGTACCGAACGGTACTCCATGACACACCCTGTATTAAAAATAAAAAAGAATTACTTATTGTTAATTCAAACAGATAATTCTAAACATTTCAGGTCTTTCCTAGAGGAAAGATCTGGAAAGGGAAGCACTAGCGAGGCTGCATTGAAAAGTACTCATTATGTTATAAAAATAACTCTTTTGCTATTACATGACTGGAACTGCTATGGTTTGTTCACCAAAGGAAAATCTACAGCACTAAATATCAGTGAATATATTACTCATTGATTATTTAAAATGGGGGGAAAGCAGCCTTTTTTATTTTTTACTCTGTGGATATAATCACTTATAATGTTCATTACAGTAATGCCAAGCTGTTAGAGAAGAAAAAAGTTGTGTTTAGTGAAGAAAGGAGAAATATCAAGCACTCAGTGTTTTCCTATGCTTTCTTGTATCTTTTGAATCAATATGAGAACAAGTAGAAAATTACTCATTCACAAGAGTTTTTTTTTACAATGAAATCCTTTGGTGTCTCGTTCTCTGAGCTATAACTACATCAAAGTATTTTTTAATTTCCATGGCAATTTTATACTAGCAATACATTTCATATGTTAACAGTTTTTATTTAAAAAACACTTCAGTACATTTGGGGTAGCAGAAGTAAGGATGCTTGATTTTTCTTTACTTTCTCTTGGTTAAAATTTTGTTTTTCAGTTTTGTTGCCTTTCAAAGCAACTATTTCAAGATAACTGGTATTTATATACACCAAAATGATGATCACAGAATATGAGCCCATGTGATACAATTTTCCATCAAAATGGCAAACTCAATTTATTATCCCTTTGTAACGTCAAGGAAAAATGATGATTTGATTCCAGATTTCCAACCTACCCAGATAAAAATTCATCATGGCTTACCATCACCATACTGATACTACGGTATCTATAATTATCTTCGAGACCTCCTGGGAGAAGAAAGAGTGGGAGAGACAGTGGGAAACTGGTATTTACTGAGTCCTTATTATGCACCATATACTGGGCTTTCACAAATATTAACTCGCTTATTCCTCACAGAAATCATGGCCATTTTCTAGGTGAGGAAATGGGCTCTGAGAGACTCAAACTTGCTCAAAATCATAGAGAAAACAGATTTCCAACCCTTATAACACATTATGAAAGGATAACTGGGTTTGCATTCTTAGTTCTGTGACCCCGAGGAAGGCCCTTATTCCCTATTGTCTATTACCTCATCAGTAAAATGGGGATAATAATAATGGCTTCTGTGTCTACCTCACAGAGTTGTGAAAATAAAAATGAAATCCTGACTATACGAGCACTTTGAAAACTGTGCCGTGCTATATAATGATCAGTGAGCATTATTAGAAATTGTTGCTATTTATATGCATAAGCTTAAACATCTTTAAGATATGACTTAGGTGAAAAGAACTTTCACATGAGCTGGGAGATGACATTTTCACTTCTGAAGGCATGAGTGAGATGAAGGGAGAAAAATTTGATTTAAGGTATACATTCTCTTAACGTGCACTGTGACACTTGGATGTGATATGAAAAAGTATGTGGTGTTTCTCAGCACGCTGAGTTTCTTCATCAGTAGTCTGCCTCCGTTGTGTATGTGTGCCGGCAAGGGGCAGGGGGACACAAGTGTGAGATAGAGAGTCCAAATGCACTCCTATGGGCAGTAGGGGTGTGTGTGGAAATGGCTGGACTAGTAAATAGCTGATTGAAATGAGAGTTCTTTTTCAGGGAGATGGGGGGACCTCAACAGGTTCACTGCATATCACAGATTGAAAATGTCTGTAGAACCTTATTTAAGGACAGAAATAAAAACAGAAGAAAGAAACAGTTTCACTCACTTTTTTAATATCGCATTCATCAAGGTGATTCTGAATAAACTGAACACTGGCAGTAAAGTCAGCAGAATTGAATTCATAGGGAATATTCCATCCTAAGGGACCAAATTTGCGTCGCTCCTTAAAAACACCATAGAAAAGTAAGTATTAAGTGAGATTTTAAAATTGTATGCAATTGATTCTTTTTTTATTGTCATTAAGACATAAAGTACAGTAATATTAAGGCATTATATTGGAATAAGTTGAATAAAAGAACAGTATATGATCTTAAATATGTTAACTATTCAAAATATCATTCCATGGCTCTATAGCCGGATGACTTACAAAGACAAATCTTTAAATATTTGCCAAATTGGAGTTCTTGGGTTAAAAAAAATAAAGTGTAGGTCTCATTTGCCAACTCAAAAAAAACAAAACGCATTAGGTGCTCAATAAATATCTGCTGAATGAATTCATTTATTCTAAGCTGGACTCTTGGAAGCTTCAAATGTTAAATGTAAGAGTTTAAATTTTTGTTTTTAAAGTTGAATAACTGAAGCACTCAAGAGCATTTAGACTCCCTGCTAGTTTCACTTTGTAATTTTGCAATTTCAGATTTTGAAAACTAAATAGTTCTACTGTAAAACATGAGACATCTGTCTTAAAATTTTCACCTATGAAACACTGGATGTCTCAAATTAATCATATGCCAAATTAAGCATAATAATCAAACTGATCTCAGATGAACTGATTCAATTGCCTTGGTATTCTGGAGGTCATTTTAAAGGTATGTAAGTGTTAAAACTGGTATTTCCAGGCCCTGATCACCTAGCAAAGAAGCTCAAATGTTGCTATACCATCAGCTCTTCCTGCCCTAGGACACAACCAATGTCTAAGGAAGGTCCAATGATTTCTGTGGGCTAGCTCCTGGGCCTTTGATCCTAGTGCCCCAGGTGAGAACCCATGAGGAGAGTAGAATCCCTATGTATATATGGGCAGATGTAATTGTACTTCTCTACTTCTAAATATATACTTTTCTATGTCTCCTGCCTTCCCCAACCCAACACACATGCATAATCTCACACACACACACACACACTGCTTTCACAAACCATTCCAATCCTTTTTTTCTGTAGCTGCTTAGTGCTTTACATCCTGAAAATACTACCTTGTAAAGAAATCTAAATGAATTTTAGTTTGGACAAGTTCATGAACAGGTCAGAGATGAAATTCAGAAAGCAAGAAGGTTTTAATTACTGAATTTCAGGATACCCTTTTAAAATATTAAGCAAACCATGAAAATTTATTTGGGGCCAGGTGTCTGGCCCTGGGAGATCAGACTGAGCCAACACGTAACTCTTTAAAATGTCTACTGCCATTACTTCTAGACCTGTACTTCTTTAGGTTAGGTTGTCAGGCATTAGCTGTTTGTACAGTGTGAGCCCCGCCACTATCCCTTAGCTAATTCCATCAAAGGTGGACAACCAGCCCAAGAAGAGCCAACCAGATTACTTCTCCCAGGAATTTGGACTTAGGGTGCAGCATTGCTATTGGAGTTTATCCTAGTCAGAGCTTCACTAAGGAGATTTATAAACTCGGGAGCTGGGAAAAATGGAAATCTTTCACTTTGAACATAGAGAAGGTGAGAAGGAGCAGAGGTGCAGAGGTGCAGCCTCAACAGAAAGAGAGACTTGTGGTGTTATCCCAGGTGCAGGAAGGGGAGCATTGGCTCTTAACGGCGTCAGCTTCCCTGGATGGTTTTCTGCTTCCTGGTGTCAGCACTCATGTTGCCTTGATGTGTTTTCCGAGTTGTTTCCTGTTGAACTATTTGGTCCTGTAACCAGATTTTTGAGCATTGACAGTGAAAACCTTGCCTCCCCTTTTGTACCTGTATTTTGGGGTAAGGATCAGAGCTGTCTAATGAACAATAGTGGATAATTATCAGAATGAAAGGCACTTTTCCTCTCACCATCTAGGGGGTCAATTATGAGACTGTGACAGGGTTTTGAATTTGAGTGGGTTCCAAAAACATTGAGGTGAGCCTTCTCCAGGTTATTCTGAGAGCAAGAGTGGGTTGGCAGGGTCTATAGAATATTAATGAAAATGCATTCCCTGGAATTTCTTCTATTGAGGTCTTCAAATAGAAGAATGCTAATCACCTATTGGTGAAATGCAAATGTTTTCTCAGTTTTTAAAAAGAGATCATCAAATCTAAAATAGCTTTACCTATGTTTGACTTAATTTTTTAAAACTCACTGTTCAATTAGACAGGAGATGGAATAAAGAATAACTTCCCTTTCAATTATTGAAGCAGCTTAAATTGGCTCTATGGAAACACTCCCATTTATATGCACTGAGCAACTGCCACTGAGTTGCTCCTTAAAACGTAATCTTTGAAAATTGCCCCAAATGCTGAGATTTGCCTTGCTATCAATTTTCATTTAAAGCACTCACTTTATAGGTTGGTTCACTAAAGTCATAGACAATTTAGTTCATCTTGGAAAAAAAATTTTTGGTGGGTGTATTTTCTTTCACAAATATAATTATTTCACTTTTTTTTCTTTTTCTTTTTGGTACTCATTGACCTCTCTACATGACAATAAAGAAATAAACTACGAATTATCACCTTGGGATACTGTCAGGATAGACTCAAACTACTGGGACTTAAGAACTCATCTGGAAGCTCAAAAGCAGGAGACTTTGCTAGAATTTGCAATATTTGGAATAATTAATCTCTTCAGTCCAATTATTAGTTTTGAAACTATGGGATGAGTCTTCTGTGATACAACAGAAAAATATTCAAATCGATGTGTCTTTCTAATTTGAAAAGATATATGCACCCTTACATTCATTGTGTCATTATTCACAATAGCCAAGATATGGAAGCAACCTAAATGCCCATCAATAAATGATTGGATAAAGACAATGTGGTACATATTTATAATATTACTTGGCTATAAAAAGAAATGAATCTTACCATTTGTGACAACATTGATGGACCTAGTGGGTATTATGCTAAGTGACATAAGTCAGAATAAGAAAGACAAATACTGTATGATCTCACTTATATGTGGAATCTAAAGAATAAAATAAAAGAACAACAGAAACAGACTCATAGATACGGAGAACAAATTAATGGTTAACAGATGGGAGAGGGGTTGAGGGGATGGATGAAAAAGGTGAAGAGATTAAGAGGTACAAATTGGTAGTTACAAAATAGTCAAGGAGATGTAAAGAACAGCATAGAGAATATAGTCAATAATGTTGCAACAACTATGTATAGTACCAAGTGGATACTAGACTAATTGGGGGAATTGCTTCATAAATTATATAAATGTCTAATCACTATGCTGTACCCCTGAAACTAATATAAAATAACATTGAATGGCAACTGTAATTGAAAATTTTAAAAAGACCAACAAACTGATATATTTTCAAGAAGTTTTAACCTAGTTGAGAAAATAAGACTTAGAAACAAGGAAAGGACAGTGTGATAGGGAGCATAATTAACTGTCAAAATTTAACAGATAAGAAGTCTGAGGAAGACATGTAATCAGAGGCTTCTGGGAAGAATGAAACTGAAGCTGGTCTCCTTTGAAGAAGAAAGAAAAGACTGCCAGGCTTGGTGAAGGCCATGAGCAGACAGGAACGCAAAGCTTGTGATTCATCCAGAAGGAGGCTGCAGGTAAACGCTCTGCAGCAGCAGTGGGCGACCTCTGGTGAGTAGCTAGAACACACGCCCACGGGATGGGTCAGGAATGCAATACAGACAGAGATCAATGTCAGGATGAAGGGCTCAAATCTGACTCAAAGGAAGGGCGTTATTACCCGTTATTAAGTTGGAGAGTGAAGATTTTAGCAAGACTTGTCTACTCTCTACTTAATTTAACCAGTACAGTGCCCTCTTTATTTCCAAAGAATATACACAACACAGAACTACTAGTAAATTATGGGAAACTTGGAATCCTCCTTAGAGCACCAAAGAAGAGTTGCTCCATGGAATCATCATTGTAATGATGTCAAAACTATTTCCAATTTTATATTAGACTCTGCCTCATCTCAATGAACCCACCTCCCACAGCCCAGTGCAGAACCCCTTCACTGGCATCTGCACAACAAGGCTCTATTTGGAGCACCACACCCTGTTTACTTAACACCTAGAGCTAACTCAAAATAATGAACAGAAATGGCCAGAAACACTGGGAAACACTACAGAGAAAAGTGTAAAAGATCTTTTAAAAAATCTGTATCACAATATTATAATTATGCTGAGGACACTTAAACTAAGAACTTTATGATCACACCTTCCCAAAGCAAGAACTTTATTTATATAGACTATTAAATTTGAAGGGAGTGTTTGTCAAGGCTCAAACTTGAGAAAGGAAACAAAATGTAGGAGAAGGAAACACTTTTCTAAATAAAGAACTGCTGACAGTGGAATTCCCTGGGCCCATTGAGATGGCCATTTTTATTTAATAGTTAAATTATTTTTAAGAGCCATGATCAAATTTCCAAGTTTGCAACTGCCAGTGCAGGCCTTGAAAGCTACTAATCATTGACATCAGCAAAAAACCTCAGAGTTGTGTGTAAGCCATTAGAAAAGTCCCAAATGTGGTCCCAGATCAGTCTCAAACAGAAAAGTCCCCAAAGTCTCGAATGTGGGCAAGCCAAGGAGATGGGGAGAAAAATTCCAAACCATGAAAAGGGCACAAAAATGACTGAACATGTCTCCCTTAAGGGACGTGGCTATTTGGCCGTTATTCTCAATTCCTGTTGCATATTAGAATCATTTGCGAAGTGTTGAAAAGGACTGAGCACCCCACCCAGCCACCTCCTCCCGGGAACTCTGGGGCCCAGAAAATGGCTGAGAACCATTGCTTCAGATGTTCACTAGGTCCAACGTGCCGGGCAAACAAAGTGTGGTACATTGGCCATCAATCGGAAAGAAGCAGAAAACATTATTCTGAACTTCTGTAGGATGTGTTACGAAGAGACTACAAATGCAAATGCTTAGTTTCAAAAGATCAAGACTTTCTGAGGTAAGGATAGCCTATTTAATAAATGGTGCTGGGAAAATTGGACTGACACATGCAAAAAAATGAAACTGGACCACCTCCTTACGCCATATACAAGAACAAACT